CACGAGCAGGGTGGGAGATGGGAGCACCGCAGCCCGGCCTCCCCCGGGCGTCACCGGCGTTTGCGCCGACCTTAGGTGACCCCGTGTGGCCAGGCGCAGGAGGAAGGCCGTGGCGGAGTGCGAACGCCCCCGACGAGGGACGGAGGCTCGGAGATGGCGAAGCTCGGCTGGAGTCAGGTGTGCCGGCAGCGCGGGAGGCTCGCTGCTGCTCTCGGGGTGGGGAGAAGCCCTCTCTCCCTCCGGGCTGTGACCCCCGCCCACGGGATCCGCTCCCGGAAGTACCGCGGCTCTGTGCTGCTCCTCGGTTTGGATGCAGATTCTGACAGGTTCCGGTGGTTGTGGGAGCTCATGGCGTGTGTGCGAGGGGTCGTCTCTTCCTCTCTACACCGGCGTCGCTGGAAAGGGCTCCTGGAAACTTAATTCCATGTGTCCTGCCCCTGGTCATTTGAACCAGGATCTCCAGGCTGCCGCCTTAGCAGCCGTTTGCGTAAGCTGACAGGTGACTGATGCAAAATCAGTTTGAAACCGTTGTTTTGGATGGTAGTTCTCGGGATCAAAGAGACAGGCGGGGAAGGGTCTTCGGCTGTTGCCCCAACCGATGCTCATCCATTTTCTCATCTTACCTCTTCTAGGTTGCCATGCTTTCGGAAAGGGCTGTCCGTAGTGATTACCCGACCTTACAGAATGATAAATAGGTGTTCAGCAACTAAGTTTGAGTACTTGCTTATTGGTGACTTAGAAATATGTTCTACTCCCTGACAGATATAGGGCAGTCCCTGGGTGACTGGATGATAAAAGAAAATGCAGCGGAGGAGGAATATTTTCAAATTGAAACTGGGATTGTTAGCTAATTTATGTCTTCACTGGAGAAAGCCCATTTAACTTGGCATGACTTTCACAGCTTTTACAGTTCAGAGACAGTATTGGGGGCTTCTGTTGGGAATGTATTTTTATATTTTCAGTTCAAATTTCCACCTGTAACATAAAAGTGTTGGCTTAATAATAAGTATATTGTCAATCTAAAAGAACCGTGGACTGTGTGGGGAAAGCCGTATTTTCTTCCAGAGATGTACTCCTGGCGTAGAACAATTCACACAATCCTTCGAACCCTTCTTTTCTATCTGTAAAATAAACGTACTTCTCACCGTCTGATTCATTTCTCACTGGGGCTATGATTTGAGCTCACTGACCTTGAAACTTCAGAAGTGCATCCTTTTCATTTACGTGGTGGCATTCCATGCATGAACACTTGGGAAGTCTCTAGCTGATAAAAGTTATTATCAAAGTTACATATTTAGAATCCGTTTTCTATTTATGATGATTACATTAGAGTTACACCATTTTTAAGGTGATATAAAAGTCTAATTTGAATTTATAATTCTGGTATGTGTTGGACTTTATAAGAACTCCTCTTTCATCTGATTGTATCCTAAAATGTGCACATGAGTATTCCTGAATCAAAAACAGATAGTCATTAGTTCTTTCTTCTTCTTTCTTTTCTTTTTTTAACTCGGGGTCTTCCTTTGTAGCCCAGGCTAGCTTCCAACTTGAGGTCCCCTGCCTCCCTAAGTCTGAGGTTGAGATTACAGTCAAGTGCCACCACACCCAATTCTTCAGTTACTTCATCTTCTTTTTGTACCCCCTCCTGGTAGCTAATCGAATATATAATTGGTCCAGAAGCGCACTAATGAATTGGAGCAAATGCTTCTGTCGGCTAGGTCGTGTAATTATAGTTCCATCAACGAGGCTTTCTTTGAGCTCTAGACTTTTCTTCAGCTTCCTGCCAGACATCTGTCCCATCATGCCTTAGTTGTGTTTTTATGTAAATTCGATTTCATTGTTTTTGTTGGTGTCTGGAGACAGGGTGTTGCTATGTAGCCTAAGCTAGCTTTGAATTCATGATCCTTCTCCCTCTGAGTGCTAAGACTAGGCATGTATCACCACTCTGGCTATCACTAGTTCCCTAAAACAAATAATGGCCAGTTGGTGTGCCCCAATTCTTAAGGGCAGAGGCAACTTTCTGAAAGTGAACTCAAGTGCCCTATCTGCCTTGCTAGCTTGAGAATTGGTATCACAGGTGATGGAGGGAAAGACCCTGTGCCCTCTGTCCTTTGTATAAAGAGACAGCTGTCTCTCCCCAGTGAAAGGAGAGCCTTTTGCTTCATGAACCCACTGGACAGTTCCACTCATCCACATAGGAAATGGGGGAAAGAGGCCAACTGTGATTTGTTTCCTTAGTTGTGGTTGGTTATGGTTGGTTGGTTTGTTGCCAGTGCTGGGAATCCAACCCTTGACTTGAGTGCTAAGCAAGTGCTCCGTCACTGGCTGCATCCCCAGACAATTGCTTCCAGAGGTAAACTCACGAGATGAGTTCAGGAGGTATAAAGGCAATGGGAGGTTTGTTTTGTTTTGTATTTTGGGGATAGGGTCTCTATTATGTAGCTCTGGCTGTCCTGGGACTCAAAGAGATCTGCCTGCCTCTGCCTCCTGAGTTCTGGGATCAAAGGTGTGTGCACCACACCCAGCCATAAAGGGATGTTTTTAAAGTAGGTTGTAGTCAAGGGATCAAGACCTCATCAGGATATTTTTGTCATAGATTCTATATAAGAACAATAAAAGGAATTAACACTTAGGTATATACAGTTTGATGTTTTCATACTGCCTGATTAAACTCTTTAAAAGTATATAGTTGCTATTTTTACCATGTATGAATAAATTACCTAAGACTAATTATAAGTGTTGAGCATAACTGAATTTATTTACAAACATTTTGTACTTTACTTACTGTGTACAGGGCTTTGTAGCAGGCCCTGGGGGTAGATGCAAGCAGGGCAGGGGTAGCACCCTGACCTCAAGGGATCAAACAGGTGGTTGTAAGTGTTCTACAGAGTGCAGAGTTGTATGGGAGTCATAACCAAAGTGCTTATAAATAAATAAAGAAGACGTTCCAGAGGGCCAGACAGGTGCAAACCTACAAAACCAGGGCTAGCTGGGGGAAATAGTGAAGTAGACCGAGCGAGAGAGGCAAAGGGGAAAGCTGTCGTGACAGAGCAATCGCTCTGCAATTGTTTAGAAGAATACAGAACAGAAAAGACAGTTGCTGGGGTAGAGTTGGAGAGGAAGCTGGAAGGATTTGTTATAAACGTCGCCATCGACAAGAAACTTGCAGATAGATAGGTCTGAAGGAAGCTAATATACAGGCCTAAGTGCAGGGTGTCGTCCCTCCATAGAGCTCAGTCATGCAGTTCCTGAGGTCTTAGGTGTCTATGGAACCTCTCAGATCTCTTCTAGTTAAGGCATTTTTCTGTAGTTCAGTGTGGATTGTGTTATTGGCAATTAAGTACATTTTGTCCGTTCCTTTTTAAAAAATAATCTGGCTTTTGAACCATCAATTATTTCAGTGTTTGTTTTGGATTTCTGTGTATTTGTTTTTTCCTTCCAGTCAGGATACTCTCTGTGGCTATTTGGAGATTTTTTGTTTTGCTTTTGTTTTGTTTTTGTTTTTCAAGACAGGGTTTCTTCTCTGTGTAGCTTTGGAGCCTGTCCTGTGACTGGACACACTCTGTAGACTAGGCCAGCCTCGAACTCACAGAGATGCCTCCCAGGACAGGTGCACCACCACCACCTGGCTCGTTTTGCTTTCTTTAAGGTGGGGGTGTCATCTCTCTGTAACCCAGGCTGGCCTGGAACTCAAGATCCTTACCCTTCAGACTCTATTGGTATTACAAGTGTGTGCCACCACACCTAGTCAGTATTTTTTTTATTTTTTCAAATACAGCAGGTGTCTGAACCTTGTATATATAAAAGCTTAGTAAGGTTTATTGCATTTGGAAGTAGTGGAGTAGCAAAAAAGACAAGACTTAGTTCTCTTCTGAAAGTTCTAGCTGACAAGTTTTCCTCTCTCTCAGAAGACAGTATTGTCTCTTTACGGGATGTAGGGCTTGGAGAGATGAGCTCACTTTTCAAAACAAACTTTCCCCCAGTAGAGTTGAATCTTCTTTGAGGCCTTTGTTGCCACTTAACCCCCAGGAATAGCTATCTGTTGCCCTTGGACTTTTCTTACTGAGGGGAAGAGTCCAGGATTATATATAGTAATTGTCAGCAGTTGGTACCAGTGGAAGGTGTGTGTACTGTATGCCATGTTTGCCTCCGTTATTAAATCTGTGAATCAGAATTACAGGAAGTTCAAAATTGTTCATTAAAGAAATACACAATAAAGATGAACTGGATCTGTCGTTATTGCCTTGTGATGTCTGTGAACTTCCTGTGTGACTGTGGGGAGGGAATCTTTGTGCCCTGTGATGGTGGAAGTGAATTTTTTTTCCCTGATCCTTTATTCACACAATTATTCAGCTCATATTAGTCTTCTCTAAGTGCCACTGTGGGAATATTATAAAAGAAGACAGAGTTTTATAGAGGAAGGCTTGGGAACATTGGGAAGGTGTGTGAAAGAAGGCAGATCAGAAGCCTGTAGATGCCCATTAAGAAGGCCCTGGAAGAGTTATTTTGTGTTGTAATGATGTTAACAGTAATAGCCTCAGGAGAGAGAGAGAGAGAGAGAGAGAGAGAGAGAGAACGCACAGTGGGCATGGTGGCGCACGCCTTCAATCCCAGCACTCAGGAGGCAGAGGCAGACAGATCACTGAGTTCAAGGCCAGCCTGGTCTACAGAATGAGTTCTAGGACAACAGGGCTATGTAGAGAGACCCTGTCTCAAAACAAAGCCAAAAAATAAAATAAAATGCTATGCAATAAGAAGCTATTTCTAGCAGCATTTGCTACAAATTACTTTTTGTCTCAAAAGGGAGTAAATAATAAACTAGGTAGAAATTTTGTCTATAACTGCACTCTTTTTCCCAAAAGGCAATAAACATTAATGTAACAGACTAGAAACTATTCAGAGGTGAAAACTAAAGTTAGGTAGCATGTGGGAGCATTAAAAGACCACACTACAAGTGCTTAGTAGGGGGCAATGGCTCAGTGGTGAGGACCAGAGTTCAGTTCTTGGTACCCTGGTTGAGTGGCTCACAACCAGCAGTCACTCTGGCTTCAGGGATCCAACTCCTTGTGGCTGCCTCCAGCACCTGCAAGCACATGCACACTCACACAGACACACACCTACACATAATCTTTAAAACGATTGGTGTTTCTCACATCATATGTTAAAGAAAAATGTAATATGAGAGAAAAGGCAAAATGGTGGGGTAACAAGTGTTCACGATTAGCTTTAGCTGTGAAGGTTTATCTAAAATTGTCCAAGTTCACAGCAGATAACCATGGAAACTAGGCATAGTAGTTCTAGATGATAATATTCTATATGCTTTTAATTACAGAACCTCAAAAAAATTTCTCTTTCAGGAAGACTTCAAGAAATCACAATGTCGACCGACACAGACCTTTCTCTTTCTTCATATGATGAAGGTCAGGGGTCTAAGTTTATTCGAAAAACTAAGGAGACACCATTTGTCCCCATTGGTAAGTGGCTGATGCTCTGATGACCAGTCTGCTTCAAGCTCAAAGCAGTGCGAGTGGAGTATGGTAAATTGTATATTGAGTAGATCCTGAAATACCTTTTTTCTTATTTTGTTGAAGTATGGTGAGGTCAGCGTCATAAAAGCTCATGTGCTCGGATTTGTGTGATTGGTTGTTAGTTCAGGGACCCGTGCTGGACCAACCCTGACTCTGAGATTTGCCTGGACTCAAAACAAAAATACTGTAATTATGTCAAGGTTCATAGCACTGAAAGGATAGGGGTGAAAGTTAACAAAGGCGCCTGCAGTGAAGTCCTGGGGAAACAAGCCTCAGCTTGCAGAGTCTCCTTCTAGAGGACACTACCTTCTGTTGGTAGAATGGGCAAAGGAACGACTGCTGAACTCCAGCATTTACGGTGTATTAAGGTCAGTCACAGAGGTGTGCTATGTCCATGGCGGCCTCACAGCTCATGAAACAACGATATGATCAATGGAATTTCCAAAATCAGTACATTGGAATACTTTCTTCACTTCCAGCAGATACAGATTATATTTAGTGTTAAAGCACTAGGAGCAGTCAGTCCCTTTAAATGGGATGGGTTGGGGATCCATGTGAACACTGCTGTTGTTGCCTGAAGACCCTGACACTTGCATAGGACAGGAAAGGAGCCGTGTACATGCTTCAGGAAGAAACCCTGTTGGTCTGTGGGTGATATTAGTCTCTGTACAGGGAATACAAGAAAATCAAATGAGAAACTGCTAGACCAATTAGAGAAACGATTACTGTCCTAGGTATATGGCTGTTGCTGTGATAACATCCATCACCAAGAGCATCAAAAGGAAGAAAGAAAAGGCTGTCTGTCTTGAGCTTCCAGGTGGCAGTCTGTCATTGAGGAAAGTCGGGGCAGGAACCTGAAGCAGGAGGGAGACTGCTTGCTGGCTCACTCCCAGGCTCATGTTCAGCCAGCTACTATCTAGCCCAGGACCACCTGCCCAGGAAGGAACGGCACTGTTATGATAAATCTTTCTGCCAAAAGCCGCCTGAGCCCCACCGCCACGTGTGAGCTTTACGCCAGCCGCCCGCCCGAGTTAGGCCCAAATGAATACACAGAAACTTGTATTAGGTTCAAAGCTGCTTGGCCAATGACTAGGATTCTCATCTGTTAGCTCAGTCTTAATTATCATAAATCTATATATTTTATAAGACTTATCGGACGCCTTATTGGCGTCCATCCTTGCTGGTGGATCACATCCTGCTACTGGAGGAGGCGAAAGGGGAAAGAGGGGCCCTTCCTGTTTCTCCTTCACTTAAATATGAGTCTCCTTGCTATGTCACTTCCTGCCTGGATCACCACTTCTCTACTACATTTCCCAGAATCCTCTTTGACTCCTAGTCCCGTCTACTTGCTGTCTCATTGGCCAAGCAGTATTTTATTTAACAATCAATAAGATAAACATACATAGTACATTCCCCATCACGGCACCACCACAGTGGACTGGGCCCTCCCACTGTCAATCAAAACAGTGTCCCACAGGCAATGACCACAGGTCAGTCTGATCTGGCCATCACCTCAATTCAGACCCCTTCACTTGACTCTAGAGCAGTGATTCTCAGCTTGTAGATCTCGACCCCTTCGGGGGTCAAGTGGCCTTTCACAGTGGTCACCCAAGACCATCAGAAAACACAGATATTTACAATTCATAACAATAGCAAAATTACAGTTTAAAGTAGCAATAAAAGTAATTTTAGGATTGGGGTCATCACAACATGAGGACCTGTATTAAAGGGTTGCAGTGTTAGGGAGGTTGGGAACCACTGTTATAGAATGTCACATACATGCTAAAGCCAAGTAGGAGAGTTACTTCATGAGTACATCAGAAGACATCTAGGAAAAAGTAAAACAAAGAACTATCTGTAAGGACACCAGTTGTATACCTGCAGATTGATAGGTGTCCCACCCAAATTTCCTTTCTCAGTTCTGTAATTACTTTCTTTTACGCATATGACAAATTATTTACTTTAAGGAATAGTGCTGTTGTTTGCTAACACAGTTACTTCCTAATTTTTTTCTTCGTCTTTTAACATCCAAGCCCTAACCTCTTTACTAGCTTAGTCTCTTTAGTGTGCAGGTATTGCCCGTTTTATATTGATGGTTAGGTCTCTGTGTACGTGTTTCCCACTTTATATTGATGGCTAGGTTTCAGTTTTAGGTATAAGTTTATAGGAAATTGCCTCACTGAATTCGGTTTTCTTTGTGGCTTATTGCACGATTGTCTCTTGTCGCAGCTTCCTAGACATTTGAGAGGACGTGTGCATGGTCTGTTTTAAGTTATTGTATATATGTGCATATATCACCGTGCCCAAATGTAGATCAGAGAATAACTTTCAGGGGGCTGTTCTCTCTTTCCATCCCGTCAAGGCAGCTTTCTCTCGTTTTCTCTGTACTACATACTCCAGGCTAGCTGGTCACTGACCCCCCTATGTGGTCCTCCTGTCTCCACCTTCCATCTGTCCATAGGAGTGCTGCTGGAATTACAGATGCTCATCGAGTATCTGACTTTAAAAAACTAACAGTTGGATTCCAGGGACTGTCCTTGTCAGAAGGTGCTGAGGTGTCTCACTGTCCTCCTCCAGTTCTTAAATCTGACGACTTACTCCACAAACCCAGTTTGTCAGAAGTAATCTTTAGCTCAGCAATGTGGCTTAAAACCCAGAACTTGGAATGTGGGGGCAGGAGGATCGGATTCAAGGTCATCTTCTGTTCATAACAAATTTGAGGTCAGCCTGGGATACATGGGACCCTTCACGGGGGGCTTCGGGGAGGAGCCCCGGTGCTTGATAGGCAGAGATAAGTGGACTTCAAGGCCAGCCAGGGCTACACAGTGAGATGCTGTTTCAAAAAAACAAAAGGCCCAAGAAAAAGATCCTATCTAGATTTGCTGCTGTTGGCTATGAATTCTAGATTTGGGCTTGTGAAACAAAAAAGATTGGGAACTGTGTGCTGATTATGGTCTGGTAGATGTCCTTACAAAAATAGAGAGCACATTGGTTAGTGGTGAAAGTGTCCTCTGCCTGTGCCTCACACGCCTGTGGCTTTGTTGTGTAGGCATGGCAGGGTTTGCGGCAATCGTTGCGTACGGGCTATACAAACTGAAAAACAGGGGAAATACGAAGATGTCCATTCACCTGATCCATATGCGTGTGGCCGCCCAGGGCTTTGTGGTCGGAGCCCTGACTCTTGGTAAGTTCGCCAGGACATTCTCAAATGTGTGCTTCTCATTGATGCTCTTCTTCACCAAGCAGTGATAGTTTTACCCACTGTGACTGATAAACCCTTATTAGAATTCCCTTGCCATCTGAATATAGGTTGGTAGTAAGTTTTCTGAGAAGAATGTGATTGTTGTACTGAGATTGGAAAAATAGAAAATACTCTATAATGTACATGTTTTACTGGCATCATGACGTAGTGACTTTATCTGCTAGTATATAGTGGGTATTTTAAAAGTTGCCAGGCAAATACTGGTTGTTCATTAAAGCACTGGGACATAGTGAGCTGACACACTGGGCCTACACAGCTGGGGAAGTTAAAGAGTTTTAGGATTGAACGTGAGGAGGCTGGGTGCCTCTGGTGTCCAGCTCTCCTGGCAGGCTGCCGCTTGTGACTGCCCTGTGGACTATTGCATGTTTTCTAAGTGCTGAAGGGGATGTTTTAACATGTCTTTTCTTTCTCTTTAGGTATGGGCTATTCCATGTATAAGGAATTCTGGGCCAAGCCTAAGCCTTAGAAGACGAGCTGCTGCCTTGGTCTGGGAAGTGCTTGCTTAGTTAGACGTCTCATATTGAGGTTACATGTTTGTGTCTACAATAAATAACATGGATTTAGACAACAACACAGTATTGAATATTGGCTTACTTTCTTGCCAGCTGGATTTACATGGTGACCAAATTGTTAGTCACCAGTTCACTAACTAGGTCACTTGAGGGGTGGGAGTCAAGTTAACACAAAAGAAACCTGTCACCTGAATGCAGTGGGTAACAGTGTTCTCCTTGCACCCTTATGAGGCAAGTTTTTTGAGGATGGTGAACAGTCCATACACACCTTGTGCTTCAGAGCAGGCCTTGCTTTGGAAGATGTCAGAAAGGAGTCATGTTTGCCCAGTTCATTTAGCCTTTTTTGTCTGCCTGTAGGCTGCCTTTAGAACTTAAGGTTTTAAAGTTTGTTGGCTTCTGAAAATGCTTTCCAAAGAGTGCATGAAAAATACGTTATAAACTCCCCTACAACCTGAGGAAGGGGAAGGAGGATGTGTGTGTATGTGTATCTCTATGTGTGTGTGTGTGTGTCTCATCATCGGGAAAGCTGATGAGAGCTGCAGAGAAGCAGTATTTATTCAAATCATACTTGCACACAGAGTAATTGTGGGTTCCTTTTAGCTCTTTTATAATTGCAAAGTTATATTTTGCTGCTTTGTAGTAGGATAGTTCTTAAACGTCATATTGAAAGAGAAGTGTTGTTTCTTTTTTGTGGTGCTGGGCATTAATGCAGGGTCTCAAGTAGGCTAGGCAATCACCATTCCCACTGCACTACACCCCAGCAGACTGTACTGTACTGTACTTAAGTGGTGATACTTACAAAAATAATAAAGGAAATACACAGCTTACTGTGGACAGTGTGTGTTACATTCCCTGTAAGAATCATAAATACTAAAGGACCAAAAAAAGCGAGGAGAATGGGGGGGGAGGCTGTTTTTTACACAGACTGGGATAAACAGAATGCTTAGTGCACTGTAAAATCCCCAGTCCAGCATGAACTTACATTCCATAGTTACAGCATGGCATATGTATTGTTATTAAAATAAGTGAACACATCGGATGTTTTGTATTTATTTCAGCATAGAGAAAGAGTAAAATTTCCCTCAGCAACCCTGCTTATAGAACAGAATATCCGTACCTGTGGAGGGAGACAGTTAAAGGCCATCGACAACTAGGAGCGATTGGGCACTTACTGTGTGCCCCCACACTGCTGAGAAATTTCTGTTTCCTTTATGCGTAGATGTAGGTGTGTATTGGGTGTGTGCAGGTGCCCTCAGAGGCTGGAGGTATTGAGTATCCCTGAGGTAGAGTTACAAGCAGTTGTGCTGGGAACTGAATTTGGGTTCTCTGTAAGAGCAGTTCTTGCTCTTAACCATTGAGCCATCTCTCCAACCCTCTCCCTTTTACCACGTGTGTGTGTGTGTGTGTGTGTGTGTGTGTGTGTGTGTGTGTGTGTAGCAATCACAGGATAATTTGGGGAGTCAATTCTCTCCTGGGTGTGAACAGGTTCATAGTCTTGGTAGCAAGCACCTTTACCTGCTGAGCCATCTTGCTGGGTTACACATGTAATACTGTTAAATTAATGATCTAGGAGGTAGGACCCTTTGCTCAGACAGACCTGGGTCACATGGCTGGATCTTGGGCCTGGGAGGCAGACAGTTAACAGGACTGACTACAGGACTTTGCTTTTTATTGTTCTAGTTTAGAATAGATGGAATTGTTCCCTTAGAAGAAACCAGGAAAGGTTAATAGCTTGATAGGTGCAGACAGATGTGAGGACTTGATGTAGTGACCCTGTCTAGTAAGATGAGGCTGCATTGTGCATGTCCTACTCAGGGGCTGTATGATCTGGACCCCGCCAGGGCATGACGGGAGAGCATGGACTAGCTACGCTTCTGAGGTCCTGTCTAGCTGTTGGAACAGGTTTCAGAAAGTTCTGTTTTTTGTTTAGTTTTGTCTTTTTGGCTTCCTGTCTTAGTGTTCTGCATTTTGAGAATTTGTTATTGAGTAACACCTAGACTCATGGTTCTGCCATTCTTAGCCAGGTAGCTGGGTCTTCCTCGTCTAAAGTGGGGACACTATCTAGGATTAGAGAAAGTAAGTCATTGAAGGGCGTAGCCTAGCACACTGTGCTTTCGTCAGTCAGTACACGGCTGCTGTTATGATTGTACTGAGTGTAGGGCTTAAAGTCTCTGTCTAAAGACCACAACAAGCATGGCTGCCATGGAGGAATAGCATTCATGGAGAGAGTTCTCGTCCGGTGTTGGGTACTAATGGAGTGTCGTGTGATTGCGTCGGGCCTTCCTTCCCTGTCACCTATCCGGGCACAACGGTCTTCATCATCCAAAGCACTTGGTGTTAGTTTCCAGCTCAGTTAATGCTTGTTGAATCCATTAGTCAGTCTTGGGGGATTTTGCATTTCTCAAGTTTCAGTTGGTCCTCTGTCCATGGTTTTCCATGTGCATGGATTCATGCAACCACAGGTGTGACCTGTTTTATTTTTGTGTCAGTACTGAGCATGTGTGGATTTCCTTTTCCTGTGGGGTTCCTAGGAGTGTGGTGTAACAACTATTACACGTCGTCCTGTTGCATTAGACAGTGCGAGGGACGTGGAGAAATTAGAAGAATGTGAAGGGTGTGCACAGATCGTGAGCACACCCCTCACAGTTGTTTGAGAGACCTGAGTACCTGTCTGAGGTTTGGGGGTTCACTGGGGGTTCCGGAACTTATCTGCCATTACTGGGGATGCCGAGTCTGAGCAGCAGTGACATCTGGTGGCAAGAGTCAGATCTGACCACATTTACAAGCTCCCTAATGGAGCACATCAGAAAGTGAGGCCCAGTGGTCATGGAAACCACATCTCCTGTCCTATAGATGAGGGACTGAAGCTCCGAGTTCCCGGGACTCAGAGTTAAGCTCCCTCATGGCTGTAAGGCCGAAGGGTCATGAGGTAACAGGTGCCACGTGTCAAGCAGTAGAACTGAGGTAACTTTGTTCTCCATCCTTTTTGGAAGCACTTTGGATTCAGGAGAAAAGAAAGCCCAGGCCATAAGATGGAGTGCCACAGGACCAGTGAACCTGGGTAAGCTCAGGAACCAGGACTGTGCATGTGCCCGAGTCCCAGGCCCGAGGACTCTGCTTCCCTCAGCCACCTGCACAGGGCAGACACAAAAGAGGAAAATCAGCTGTAAGTGGGTCAAGCTGAAGCCACTGTCCATCCCTAGTATTCTGGGCTGTTCCCAGTGTGACTGTTCCCAGAGTCAAAAGTTCCTCTTCAGCAGAAGCTACTGTCTTCCCTTTCTGGCAGCCCTCCCCGGGTTTACGTTTCTGTCAGCAACAACATGACCTACCACCATCTCCCCTTGCTCTGAAATGCAGCCATGTCTCTTCCTCTGTTCTTCAGTGGGCCAGTCACCAAGTCCTGTCAGCTTGTCTCACTTCTGTCCCCTCCACTTTCAACCTGGGCCAGTCGTCTGTCTGAATCTGCCCCTTCATACCAGTGAAGATTTGTCTCAACCTCTCTTGAGGAGGCTGAAGAGATCACACACAAACTGTTCGCTGGGGAAGTGTAAGTCAAATGCTAGTGAGGGTATAAGGCTCTGGGGGCCTAGGCAGCAGGACAAACTGTAATGACAGATCTGGTGGCTTCCATGTGTGGTTGGAGATGTGGCTTAATGGTAAAGCATGTCTAGCATATTTGAGGCCCTGGGTTTAATGTCCAGCACCAGAAAGAAAGAAAAAAGCTAAGTAAAAACACTAAGCAACAACTACAAAAAACCATGACCTGAGCCAAGAATAAAATGGAGAAATTTGGGAGGAAAACCACAATGTATGCCCAATCCATTGTGCTAGTGGCTTGGGGAAGGGCCAGGTAAGATCTCATCCATCTGCGAGGTCACCTGGAGCTGGAGGGCACTGGGTCTTGTCAGAACACTGAGTTTTCTGAGAAAGTCAACATTTGATGTCTGAGATCTCCATACACACAAACACAATTTACATATGAGCTCCATTTGGTAGAATCAGACCTGCCTGGAACCAAGTTGCCGCACCACTAAAACAACATTTTCCATGACCTAGAGGAAGCTGGGGCTGAGAATACTCAGGTCTTTCACAAGTTGAAGAGGCAGAACTTCCATCAGAACAAGGCTTGAGTCTGAGAAACTGAACTTTTTAACCCTTCAGGGCTCCCAAGTAAGAAGCTGAATGATCAATAAGGCTTTAAAACCTGGGCCACAAGTGCCTCACGGGTGTTTATCTCTGCTCTGGGTCTCTTCCCACAACACCTTTGTGGTGGCTTACAGTCCCCATTAGGGCCTGTTCTGGGGAAAGAGCTCTGGGCTGGCAGAACGAGGGAGGGTGATGGGGTTACACATGGGGGTTTGCACCCTGCCCTAAGGTCCCAACACTGGTACAAGCTTTTGGCTCAGCCTCCTGTTCACATGCCTCGATTCACACCCAAGAGGTGCTCAGTGCAGAGCAGCAGATTGGATTTTGGACCCCCAAAGCTGAAGTGAGCTGGACTGTGCCTTGGTTTTTAAGCTGCAGTAAAACTCCCATTATGAAGCATGACACCTAGGTATGCAGTAGTATAGATAGTTCACACATTACAAAGCTCCAAGGCCAGTTTGACTCACAGCAATGGTAATACTGCTATTTAAGAAAATGAAGGAAACTAGAGAGATAGCTCAGTGGTTAAGAGCAATGGCTGCTCTTCCAGAGGATGAGGTTCAACCCTAAGCACCCATATGGCAGCTTGCAACCATCTATAATTCCAGTTCCAAGAGATCCAATGACCTCTTCTGGTCTCCTCGGGCACCAGACAAACACTTAGTCACATAAAAAAGAAGATGACGTTTGTGACTTGACTCTTGTTGGAGTCAGTTTTCTGTTCAATTTAGTTTCTCATTGAGAGAATGACTTTATGCTTATTGTTTGTAGAAGGAATTATAATTTCGGTGAGAGAAGCCTACTTGATGACCACGTTATCTTCAAGAAGATAAATACACGTGGGCTGGGGTGATGGTTCCACTGGTAAAATGTTTGCCTTGCAAACCTGAGGATCTCAGTGAGATCCCATGAACCCACGTATACAAAGGCAAGTGTGGTGGTGTGTACGACTAATCCCAGTGCTGGGGAGACAGACAGGCAGTCTAGCCAAATTGGTGATCCTGGGGCCATCGAGAGGCCCCATGTCCTCGATGCCTTTCTGTCGGTATGGAAAATACTCTGACTGCAGGAAAAGTTGATTTTAGCTCACAGTTCCAGGTTCAGTCCATCACAGGGAAGTCAAGAGCAAAAAGAGTGCATTCTTCCCTGCTGTCCAGCACTCTCTGTGACCTTCTACAGTTCAAAACCATAACCCAGGTGCCACCCACAATTAAACAAGACAGTGGCCCACAGGCCACCCTGATCTAGACAGTCACACTGAAACTCTCCCCAAATGAGACTAGATTGTGACAACTGACAAAACTGACTGGCACATCCTGTCTCAAAACCTGGATGAAAGCCTTCTGAGGCCCCACGGTTGGCGTCTGGCCTCCACATGCACACAAAATTAGCTTTCTTTTCTTTTTAAAGAAGTTTGCTATGACATTGCGTCTCCCAGAAATGTCAGAAGCTACAACCACAAAGTCTCACCAACACAGCCACCTAAGCATGACCTGAACAAAATGATTTCAACAGACATGCTCACATGGAGAGGGAAAGTTCACATGATCTGCACAAAGGACTACAGGCAACAAAGCAATGCTGAAGCCAGGAGAGAGAGAACTCAGGGAAGAGCATACCGATTGTTTATCAGTATCAAGTGGTCAGTCCTGAAAACATACATACAAGTAGCATTGTGCAGACCAAACAGGCAGTTTCTCCCTCTATTCTCTCTCTCTCTCTCTCTCTCTCTCTCTCTCTCTCTCTCTCTCTCTCTCTCTCTCTCACACACACACACACAGAGACAGAGACAGAGACAGAGACAGAGAGACAATGAAAAAGAGGCCACACATTTGAAAGAAAGCAGAGGAGGGCACATGGGAAGATTTGGAGGAAAGAAAAGGAAGAGGGAAATGATGCAATTATAATCTTGAAAAGAAATGTCAAGTCATGTCCCACTTGCAGAATATGAAGAGTCAACAGGAATATCAAATGTTTAAGATGTTCTGTTTTCTTTCTTGTCTTTAATCTGAGTATTTGATGTTTCTGAAAATATGTTACATAGTTATGATTAAAGCACAGTGCATACATATCAAGGGTTGCCAAGCCTGGGTGACCTGAGTACCACCAACTCCCACAAATTGCCCTTGGACTTCCACACACAGGCATGCATGGCATAGGTGCCACCCAACAAATGAATAAAACATAATTTTAAACATTCAAACAATGAAGCAGTGTTCTACAAGTAGTCCTGGTTAGAGAAACAGGATGTGGGGGCTGGGATAACAAAATGAAGATGGATCCACATTCTCTTGGCTTCCTGAATGGTAGCGCATCACGTTTATAAACTGCAGGAAAATTTCAGGCTAAAAACTGAGCAAATGGGGTGGCAGAAGCGCCTCAGCAGGGACCGTGGGAAGGTTTTTAAATGTTTTACACACACACACACACACATGCACATGCACACACACATATATACATACACACATATATACTTACACACTCTTATACATACAGACACACAGACACACACATATATACATACAGACACATATACATATGGATACACACATATACATACAGACACATACAGACACATACACATGTGTGTACACACACACACACACACACACACACACACACACACATTTTTTGAAAGATGCTGCACACCCGTGCACACTACTGCACTTCAAAGGGTGAGCAGTTGTGTGCGGTGCTGTGAGAGCCCAGTCCTGTATTTTCACAGGTAACGATACGGTACTCACTTTACGTGTCTGGGAAACAGAAGGGAAAACAGCTTCGGTGCAGCTGAAGGCTTTCACATTATAAAGGCTTGTGAGCACATAGGCAGGCCCCCCTTGGGCCATCTTTCCTGTGTGTTTGCCTTCCTTCGCGGCCCTGAAACACAGCACTGTCAAACTGGGTAGTGCATTGTCAGAAAAAAATTTTAAGAAGCGTTTTTTTTTTTTCAAAACAAAACCAAATTTCATTATTTTTTAAACTTCTAAAAATGCAAAAAAATATAAAAAAGCACTAAAATTCTTCCATTCAGATATAATCACTTGTGTGTTGTCCCATGTATTTTTTTAATGTCGGTGTTTGTGTGGGTTCATAAGTGCATGGGAAAGGCAGTTCTCAGGGAACTTGAAGTGCAAGTTCTCAGGGAACTTGAAGCTTGGGGATTTGTTGTCATCCATGGCGTGATCACTTCTAACATTCCTTTTTAAACTGTTTTGTGCCCCATTTGAAAAGAAGGAAGAACTTTCTTAGCATTATCATTTTTTGGCCTGTTGCACTCATCAGCATAGAACACAAGCTCCCGCCCCCTTCTTTCATCCTCTCCAAAGACACTATGGGTAACTGCGTTACCCTCCAGGAAACATCATCCGCTTTCCAAACCCTTGCAGGCCAGTAGGACATGCGTCCCCCCTGTGCGGAACTTTTTACGAGACACTGCACACTCGTGGTGCTGCAGCCTGCCTGTCATCCAGCTCTCGGTGGGGGTTAGGAGGATCCAAAGTTCAACAGCATCCTTGGCTGCAGACCGAGTTCGAGGGCAGCCTGGGACGCATGAGAACTTGCCTGTAAAAATAAAAAGTAAAAATAAATCCTTAAATAAAATACACAACGGGAGCGTGAAGGCTTCCGGGGCGCGTTGCTCTCTTCCGTCCAGCTCGTGGGTGCAGTTTGTTCGGCAGGCTTCACC